TGGCCAAACAATATTATTATTTTCAAATTTGTCATCATTTACCAGTAAAACCAATTCCGGTTCGTGTTTTCTTTGCTTGAAGGCTGTATTTTAATTAAATGATGTTTTGCACTGCTTGAATTATAAATAGAACATGCTTTTTGCTTGATCTTTCCATTGTCTAAAGTTAGTAGCTGACTTGAGGAAATGATTCGTTTGTGAGGTTTATGAAGTCTGACTTTCTAGAGAATCTAGAAAAAGTCTGTTTTTATAGTGTTGTTAAAGAGCGTTAACTTTGTTTTCAGAACAGAGAAATAGAGCTCTTTGTTTCCACAGAGTTAAAAAATTAATACACCCCATGCTGAGGTATAGACACAATTGTAGGCAATAGTTTAAATGGAAATTATATAACTGTGTAATTCTGTGTTACGAAAGGGAAAAAAAAGGCACTTGATAAGATGGCCTGTAAGATGGAACCTAGCCCTTTCCTTTAGCACTGGTACCTTGAGTTCAGCTCCAAGTTATTATGCTGAAGATTTCAGGCAGATGAAAGTAAAGGATTGTGCAGCACTGTCACTTCCTCCTTGAAAGAAGTTATTTCCATTAACCCCCCTATTCAGCACTGTTAAATACCACTGGCAGCCACTTCAATACCATTAAATGAATGCTGTAGGTATAAAGGAGAGGCTTGGTGCTTGCAGATGACGTTGTAAATAGATGGAAGAGAAGAGGTAAATCATCCTAAAAGACAGGAGTGGGAGTGAGGCTAAACAGTTCTTTTTGCCCTTTATTTTTAATTTATTTTGATTTTATTTAACACTTGTATCTACCCAGGACATCTGTTTTACCCCTCTCATTTCATCATTGTATATCTTATAGCCATTGGTCCTTGGAACAAGCAGTCTGCTGTACAGTGCGCGTGACACTTGGCTTTGTACTTCTCAATGGAAGAACGCTTATCAACTCTGTTCTGCATGTTCTGTCTAAACCTCCCTGCTTCTACCTCATACTCAAGGTGTATTTGCGCGACCAAATACATTTATATACAGGTGTACTTTTTTAGCATTTGTGTTTGTAAGCACAGGGTTTTTTTGGTAACATTTCCTGCTGGGTTTTGTATTTGACTGCAGAAGTGAAAAAGATTGTATATTCCTTCTTGTAAATAGTCATTCATGCAGAACAGTTCACACCCTCTGGGGTTTGTTTTTCATAGGCAGTTGAATCTTAAAGCAGTATCCACACAAACCTATCATAGCTTGAACTTTCACTTAGGTCAAAAACCCCTTCAGAAAACTAACACTAAAGAGTTCATATTCCTGTGTTATTATCCAGGGTGTAGAATGCACTTGATTAATAACCCCTTTAATGAACTACAAATTTCACAATTTTCCAAGAAGAAAGATGCAGCTTGGAAGTCAGCTCTCATACCTTTCAGACTTTTAATAAAAGCTTGTTATTTTATACTTGTCCAGTTTCTCCAAATTAATATTCTGTAATCTACATCACTGCAGCTATTATTAACAGTATGAAAATGTAGATATTGCCAACCTGCTTGTGCGGGACATTTAACTGTTCTTTCTAAAACATATTTCTCCGTTCAATCTTTAAGAAGTGCATAATGGTTTTCAAAATAATATGAAAGGCTGCACATTTCTCAGATATCTGAACCACATCAATGCAAACTACATGCACTGAAAGAATAAATGGTTTATTGTAGGATGTGTAAAGGTTCTGAAGGTGAAAGGTCAGTGTGGTAGCTACTGACACCATCTAGGCTGTCAGAAATCATTAATATGAACTCCTTTACTTCTATTTCAAGTCACGTTGCTGAAGAGGAAATCTGCTGTAGTATTACCTGCCTTTTGTAGTTTTGTCGTTTAGCAGAACTTCATGTAGATATAGCATTTAGAGACTTAATATGAGGTTTGATAATTTCTTTGATCTGTAGATGTATTCATGTCATGTTAATTTAAGTTGGGATGCTAAAAAACATGATTCATTGGTTTAAAACTGAACTTGACAAGACGGGTCCCTGGGTGGTGTAGTGGTGTTGCACAAAGCTGTGCTGCCTTTTAGCTCTTGGATCCTGGGTCCAGTTACAGACTGCAGTGCTATCAGCGCAGATTTTGCCTGTTTGTTTGGGTTTTCCATGGGTGCCCTGGTTTGCTCTCTCTTTCCAAAGACGTACTGGGCAGATAAGTTGGTGTCTCTGAACTACTGTAGTAGTTCTACTAGTGTTTGCCTTGTGATGGACTGGTGTCCCATCCAGGGTGTAGACTCAGCCTTTGACCTGTGCTTCCAGAGCAATTCCTGTGTTGCCTCAACCCTAGCATGAAAGAAGTGGTTTCCTGCTAATGAATACATGAAAAACTGTCTCTGTGCAATAATAATGTAGTTCAAATGTGCAGGTTATCAAACCATACTTAGCCAACTTAGCTCTACTTAACTCTGTAAACTGAATTTATCAACAGGTACTACTTCAAACTAGACATGAGTATCATTAATTTTAAATGTTTCACTGTGGGCAGACCTCTGATTTCTCAGACTAGTTAACTGCATTCCAGTAATTTTCCATTTTCAAAGTTCTGAAGCTGTCCTTCTCCCCATGTTTGCACTTACCAAAATAACTGTCTTTGTCTTCCTTAGGTATTATTAAAGTATAAATGCTGCTTATGTAGGTAATGGAGAATCAAGATATTAATTAGCCTTTCTTTTAATTCAAGGTAAGGCTGAGTAGGACAAATAGTTATTGCGTTTATTACTGGATTGTTTTACAATCACAGAGAAAAAAAACAGCACAAATCCATGAGTTAAAAGGGGGATAAAAGCCTTTAACAGTGCTCTCTAAGCCCCAAGTTTAAGACTTATTGTTTGCACTTCTCAAAGAGTTAAGAGCCGCCAAGTTACACTCTTGAAAAAGCAACTTTACTGGTATGTTGAAATAAACCAAAACTACAAAGGAAAACCACCGCAGATATGTGTTAGGACGTCATGAAAGGACAGCTGTTTTCATGAAAATGGGAAAAGATCAAATGTAAGTTACCACATGTGACACAAGTTTGCCAGAAGATGAAAGTTTATCCTCGATTGGAGGTGTCCTACTCTGGGGACCCCCGTAAGCCTGGATCCCCCAAGAATTTTCAACCCTGAAGCAGGCTGATGGCTGATTTTGTTTTTTGTTTGCCTTGTTTCTCCCCTCATTCTATTTTTTTTTTACTGTGGTGGACAGCTTTGAAGAGGATGAGCGATCATCAGTTTAAAACCTTAAGCGCCGCACTATCCAGTATTACATCAAAACACCATGGGCCTGTCACTCAAAACCAGTTAAATACCTCAGTTCCTTGGGGGAATCCTGGAACAATTGGTTGAATCAATGCCCCCTTTTCATTGATATAAAAGAAGCAGGGAAAAAAAGACCTGCGATGAGAAATCAAAAGAGAGTGTTGTCAATATGTATTTGCACATTACTGACTCACAGTCTGTGATTTCAAGCCAGTTCTGTTTGGTTGTTTGTTGTTGTTTGTTTGTTTGTTTGTTTGTTTTTGCATGTTTTTCCCCCTTTTCTGCACTTTAGTCAGATGCTGATTGATTTGGAGGGAAGCCGGTTTATGAACATGCAGCCAGGGCTCTTCATAGATTTTTAAATTAGTGGCAGCTTTGCTAGAAAGATGCGTTATTGACTAGTGAAATAGAAGCTGGATTCTAAACACTCAGGTTTCCCCTGAGTTTTCCACAGAGATGTAATTGAAAAAGTGTGAATCCATGTGTGTTTGTCTCTCTGTGAGTGTAGGAAAAGGTCCTATGATGTCCTATGCTTTCAGGGCATTTATTGGAAGGAAAACGACAAGAGCTTTCCGCAGGAAATAATTACAAGGTCTCTCAAGGTTTCTCAAGGTCTTTTTGCTGTTTTTCATAAAATTATAAGTTTCGCTTTGATAATTGAAAATTTGATTTCTTAATTTGTCCTTTGTGATGGATTTGATCTGGTTGCTGTCGCCCTGTGGAATGAATTAGCAACTACAGCCCATAAACGTAATCCTTTTTGCATGTATACAGCATGGGCTTCAAACAATGTAATCTGATAAACTGTGCAGTTTACAAATATGGTGTCGGTGTGTACATTTTCAGCTCTGAAACAGGGCCAATAATTTGGAGACTTATTAAAACAATGTTGTTTTCATTCCAGGCTCCACTGTATTTGCAGTCATTTCTCGCAGTTGATTGTGCTGAGACATTTAATTTCCACATTGTTCTGTTTTATTACTATCGACATATATTGCTGTGGTTACCTGAAAAGGCTCACAAAAGGCATGACGTAAAATAAGTGGAATATGCTTTTTGTGCCTTTAATGAACACTTCTCATACATAACCTAATGCCACTCTATCATACGCTTTGCTAATCATTGTATCTTGATAATGTACAATTTTAGAGCACTATGCAAATGTAGGAACAAAAGCCTACTACACAGCGCTGTGTAGTCAGTGTCAGAATATTTTGTGTTTTTGAGAATGTCTTATTGTTTTTTTTTACGTTTTAAGTGAAGTTGGACTCTTCCAGAGCCCTGCAAATGCTGCAGAAATTGTTGAAAATCTGAAAGCATTTTTAATTATGCCGCACCTATCTCAGTTATGTATGAGGACTGTGAGAGCCATGAGGTTAAAAAATGCTTGTCTTAAACTCTACTTATGGGTCTTCAAATACGGTGTGCGCATTAGTAACACTTGCTTGTTCGCAAAATAATGGGGGTTGCATGTTTCCATTTCATAGATGTTATGTGGAAATCGTAGAGGAACGGACTTTTAGAACTTTTTTACTGCATTCAACTCTGAATGTTGAGGTGGTGGTACGAAAACAGAAGTATTATTATTAGGATGTTTTAGCAGCATTTATTCCCGTGGAATCTGATCATCTCAAGTTAGTAGCAGAAACTGCTCAACAGCAGTGACATGAACATGGGGTTGGTCAGGTCCCATCTTCCCAGGCAGCTTTCTGACCTCCCTCTCTGTGTTCCTTCCTCAGGTGCAGACATGGCCATCTTCTGCCTGCTGTGTGGCAAGCGATTCCAGACCCAGACAGCTCTGCAGCAGCACATGGAAGTCCACGCTGGGGTTCGGAGCTACATCTGCAGCGAATGCAATCGCACCTTCCCGAGCCACACTGCACTCAAGCGCCACCTGCGTTCACATACAGGTAGGGCCCAGGTGCTCTTCACACAAATGGCCTCGCCTTTTTCTAAACAGTGGCTTCAGAGAGCTACTGTAAGTGGCCATTTCCTGAGCCTTCTGTTTCTCTAAAACCCTTTGTACCATATCTTCACTTGTGCCTTATCCCTGCTAAAATGGGATTAAAGACAAGGTAGACACCGTCCAGTTAAGGAACACAGTAGAAAAGTACTCCTCCTCAGGTGAAAGAAAAGTGTAAGAGAGCCACCCGACTCCTCACCATGTCTTTGGGAAATGACAAGGTGGCGAACACATTAGAGTATATCTCCACAGATGTGGGGAATCATCTGAACTTCACAGAGAAAGTGCCCCAGACCAAAACTGAACCCCAAATGTTCTCAAAACTGTCTTTGGATTTTATCTTTTGCTTTTTATCATGTGAACCATGTGGAATCGAAACAGTATGTACATGTCTCTTAGCACCCTGAAATAACCATATTATAATGAAGCATTATAATAGCCCGGAACTTGCCCAGTAATCTGGCTTTTCACCTTTACTGGTAAAGTTTAAACCCAAATCAGGTCACAGCTGAAATGAGCTGAGGTTATCCCCCACTGGGTGCTGGTCTGCATCACAAAAACACTATGCCTTTCTGTTCAGTTTGACACAATTCAGCTTTCTAACTTTGGCAGAGACCCAGGGCTAAATGGCAGAAGGTATTCAGGTCAGGACCAAGTTTTGCTTACAGAGCTAAGAGAGGAAACAATTGCAGGAGTCCTGTGACACTTGTGACTAGAGCTGTTGCTACCCGACTATGTGTGTCTCATAAGCTGCAAATTTCAGCTTTAGAAAACTTCAGTATGACCTCCCACAAATGATGGGAGAGAAATACTTTTAAAAAGACTGAACAAAGCTCAGGTTTATAACTAAATGTCTCCATATCATACTTTTTTAATTATATAAATCCATACAGGTGTTATGTGTTCTAAAACACTGCACTAAAAGAAGAAAGCATGAGAGAAGATAATAGCAAAAAATCTTTGCAAAAAGTGAATTCAAATAAGTTTTAAAAATGTGTTATTTCTTCAAAGACGTGCTTAACCACCTCATCCCATCATTTGAACTGTGGGATAGATTTATTAAATATTAAAAACAGTAGAAAAGTTGCATATCTACTTCTGTCAATACCTTCTGTAGTAGTAGTCTGCGTTTTCTGCGTTTTCTGAGACGTCATGTTGGCGTATAGAGGGTAATTATTAAAAACAGTAATAAAGGCAAAAAAGAAAACTGTTTTTTCACAGTGAAGTAAAACTAGAATACTTCTGAAAGAATCACCCTCATATTTAGGGATACTACTTTTCCTGTCTGTGACCTTAAATAACACGTAGTTAGTCAAAGCCGGTTTCGATCCCAGCTCAGAACATAAATATTTGAAGCGCTGATTTGCATGAACCGTGGGTCCCCAGTTACAGAGAGAGACAGGATATTGTTGTGCGTCTGTTGAGGAAAGAAACCATACTGTACACAGCAGTCAGAGCATGAGAATAGTCCACTGTTCTTAGCTGCATGCCTAAATATCTTAAAGGAGTACGAGATTGCTCCACTGAAAGAATACAAAGCTGTCACCAGGTAGGTTTATTGAACAGCAACTGAGATTTCTCCCAGCCCATGTAGTACAGCCACATTCTGTCCGTACTGCTTAACTCTCTTCTCCTCTATGTGAGTACTTAACCAAATTACATTATACTGTACGTCCAGTTTTCAGATCTAAGCTTTAATATTTTTTGAGAGGCACCACTTGTATTTTTTTGTCTCTCTCACCCCAACACCCCATGTTAGCACCCACACCATTAATATGGAACAAATTTCCCCCTCCAGCGCCATCCTTCTATTCTGCCAATGTTCACACAGCAGTTCGTGATGTTATTTTCAAGAGGATAGGGCGTGCTTTACTCACCCTTACATTTTGTAGGCTTTTCCATTTTTCACCCTATCCCCCCCCCCTTAAAGTCTTTTGTTTTAAACATTTTCGAAAGGGAGGACTGACACATCCACACACAGACACAGGGGCACGCAAAACCAAGACGGCCGCGCATCAGCACAAACACAGGCATACATTAGGTTCTCATAATCGTTGATGCCCGTCAGTTTCCCCATTCTCCATTCTACAGACGGAGCGTCGCCTCGTTAATATTCCGTTGTTGTTCCCTCCTTGTGTTTTATTCGGAGCCTATTTGCCGTCTGTGGCGGGTGTTTTGTGTTCGCAGCTGTGTTTGATAGCACAGGCCAGCCGAGGCTTTGGCAGTGATGGATCCCTGATTTACACTGCTTATCGCATAATGAACCCCTCCACTGTGCGCAAAAGGGCTTTTTTTTTTTTAAAGCCCACCCTGTGTCAGCTGCCCATGGTTTTACAGACGCCACGACAGGTAAAAAAAACCCGCCAGGCAGGCAGGGAGGAAAGCACAGGTGGGAGTGCCCAGCCCGTGAGGAGAAGGGGGAGACATCCAGTTGGACCGTCTCATTGAAATCTTTTATTTTGTGTCGGGGTTCTTTATCTGTTCAGTGCGACAATTAACATGCTCTAGGGAGGCTGTTTATCTATTCATGCAGATAAGAAGCGTTCTGTTGGGGTGGCGGGCAGATTTGCTGACAGTCCTTGTGTTTCTAGAATTGTATCTTATTTAATGAAACGCATCTTCTGACTTTAAAGTGTAAATCTTTTCTTTTTTTTTACAAAAAGAGCTCATTCAAAATGTCATTTGAATATGGGGATCCCTTTCATGTCAAAACACTCTTCCCTTCATAAATGTCAGACACCACATTGAAACTGCAAAGGAGGCTTGCACAGTATCAAAAATCTTGGGTTCAGTTAATAAAAGTGAAGTGTGACTGTGCCATTAAGTATATGACTTTATATCCAAAATTGATTTACGTATGACAGTAAAACACTGACAGGAAACCTTTAGACTATATATACAAAGAATAATTTTGCTATCACTGCAAAATACTATGACAAATAACCTAAATGATACTAATACCTTGCATATTTCTGGCCTTAACAATAAGGCAGTCTTTGTTACATAGCTTGACATGTTTGCAGTATTTATCTTCTCTGTCTTCTAAAGGTATTTTAATTGCCTTTTCCTAATTTTAGGCAGGTGAAGTTTGTAAGATTATTATTCCCCTGGTGTACAGTGGCACGGCGCAGTTCGTGATGGATTGTGATCTGGGCAGTTGGGGAAGATGTAGAAAGTGTAGGATCTCTTACAGGAGGAGCTGCTGATAACTTCATGCTGACAAATAAAGACTGTCAGTTTTATTGATTTTTCCCTGCTTTTTCTTTCTTATTTTTTTTTCTCCGACTCACTTCCACCCGAAGAAGCCAAATCACTGTTGTCGCAAGCCAGCTGTACATTTAAATGTGAACAACATTTAGGTGCATCTATAAATGTGCCCAAGGAAATTGACACTGTCTCTTTACAGGGAAAGTGGGAGTCTGAGCATGACAGTACATAACGAGAAATGCAATTTATTCCCAAGCACGAATGCAGTTTGGACAGCGGGATAATGAAACGCGTAGGTCATTGCTGATGACTTAAACCTTCAGCACCGGAGTAAAATGCATTAAATATCGAGAACATTACACGCCTGGCAGCGTCTCACATCTGTACAGGGAGAAAATGATATATGGGCAGCTTCAGTCAGACACAGGAAAGCAATTAGGAGCAGGCACAAGAGAGAAGATCCACATATCATAATATCACAGATTATTGACATTTGAATATCCATTACTTGCCTTCCAGGTCTGTAAGAGTGCAGTATTCCTACTTGACCTGCATAGCAGTGGATGTTGTTCATACAAAACCTCAAAAAAGGAGCTTCACAATGATCTATTACCTTTAGCAGTGATAGGTAACCTTGCCACTTCCAAAGGCCAGAGGAGCTGTTCTGCAGTGCAACAGTTGCCTGCAATTCATATTACAGCTGTGAAAATGAAACCTGGGTTCATATTCTTTCAAAAGATTCTTTGATCTCAGTTTTTGCTCCTATTCTTAAAATTGACTGACCCCGTAGTACTCATTTGTCTGTGTACATTTGGGTTTTTGAATGATTAAATGTACTGATTTTCTGATAGAAAAGACTAGTATTGATGCCTTCCTGAGTAATTTGTACCGAGAGTGCAGGGCTGTTAATTGGATGTCAGACAGTTGTGGGACTGTGACTCTGACTGTCTGCTCTTCTGTCATAAAAAAGACAGAAAAAAGCATGATTTGTTCAGTTCATTTTCTGTTTTTGCTGTGTTACTTCACTGCCTCGGTGAGGAATAAAAAGGTTGATTCTGAGGTCAGTGGGCTTAACTACCATGGTGAGTGAATACGTTGGTTTACGACAGAAATTAACCTTGGTTCTGTCATTGGAGATTGAATAGTTCAACCCGGCAGAGGCAAAACATTGATATACACAGCCTCCATCTACTTTTCCCACCAGGGGTTAGAATAAATTTCACTTATGACAAAAAGCACTGCAAAAGTACCCATTATGTGACAGCAGAGCAATAAAGAAATGCAAGTTGCTGAGAGCAGGAGGGAGAGGGGGTTGTCATCTAAGCATTATATTTCAAGCATCAGATTTACAAATCCAAATGCTGATTTTAGCAAATTTGTGTTACACCTATCGCATACGGTTCCAGGGACACACCTTCTATCTCTTTTAATCAAGGTCTTTTTCACTTTTCACAACAGAAAAGAACGTCTTTTTCTGTGCATCACACATAATGTTGCCCTTAAACACTGGGACACACTACTCATTTTGTGTTTCACACTACTCATTTCAAAAACAGTACAGACCACTGCCACTTATCGCTGTTGACTTAAAACAGTTGCTGGTGAGGCGGAAACACAGAATCTTGTATTCGTTCGTGGAGATGTTTCTTAGCCATGTCCTGATACTGATGTGTGTGCCCCCCATCCCTGCAGGTGATCACCCCTTTGAATGCGAGTTCTGCGGGAGCTGCTTCCGGGATGAGAGCACGCTGAAGGGCCACAAGCGGATCCACACAGGCGAGAAGCCGTACGAGTGCAACGGTTGTGGGAAGAAGTTCAGCCTCAAGCACCAGCTGGAGACTCACTACCGCGTACACACAGGTGAGAGCCAGACATGCAGCCCTGCCTGGCAGTTGAACAAAATGAGCCAAGTGACTTGTTTTCGGGAACCCTTCCTACATTCCGATGCGACAGTAGGAAGGAATCCAGAAAGAACATAAGAGCAGCTGTAAACAAGAGGAGGTTATTCAGCCCATCTAGGCCAATTGATATTTAGTAGCTTGTTGTCAAGGATCTCTTCCAGCCATTTCCTGAAAGGAACCAGGGTATCGGCTTTAAGAACATGGCTCGGCAGTTTATTTTTTCCTCCCACCACCCTTTGGCTAAAGAAGCACCACCTGTGCCCATCTTCGCGTTTCACTGTTCAGCTGGGAAGAAATCGCCTAGGTTGACTTTATTAGTGCCTTTGAGGATTTTGATTGTGTCTGTCTGGCCAGTTGTCTTTTCTGTTCCAGAATAAAAAGGTTCAGTCCCCTCAGCCTGTAAGCGCATTGCCAATGCACTTTCAAGTCCCACAAGTGTAATGAGTAACAACGTTTCAGCAGTTCACACAATGCAGTTGATGCAGTGTAGGAGAAACCAAATGAAGTGCGTTGGAGACATTTTTCCCCTCTTCCCCTTAAAAGACAGTCAGCAGTCCATCTCAGTAGTTAAAAGACGTTTTTATTTCATGTGCATGGGAGTGAAACACACAGAAATGTTCGGTGTGTTTTTCTCCAGTAACTTTAACAAGAACAGTCCTTAAATATTTTTCTGTTATCCATCTCACTCCCCTGTGCTTACAAGTGTTCCAAAATCATGCATATCTTCCTATCTCCCTTTTTGCTAAAGATAACTTCTTTTAATACAGTTGGTTACCTACATTCATTGCACTCATTCCTATATAGCACAGTATAGAATTACACAGTACCCCTTGTGTCCAGCATTCTTCCCATTCAGTTTAAACCAGTTCTGAATGTCCACCTTATAAAATATTGCATCTTCTGCAGGAAAGGTGTGTACAAAGTTCACAGAGACCCTCTCAACAAGTGAAACATATAATCAGGGTACTGCAAAATGGGACAGCAGTATGGTAGAGCAACATAGCAGCCAAATGGCAAGTGTGTGAGGAGCAGATTAGTCTGTGCAAAGTGCATTTGGAGCAGGTGAAATCTGAGGATGCAAGAGAAGGCAATGAGTGATGGAGTACAAACCGGTTCCTCCATAGATCCACAATGTTGTTTTTTTTTGTGATTCTGATTTCCAAATCTTTAGGGTGGCCGTGAATCACATGCACGTAAAGTTCCAGGTTTCTTATTTCTTTATAAGTGTGATTTCATCTGCCTAATTTGTCCCGCCAGAAAAGTCTTTCGGGAGGCTCTGAATAAAAACTGTGTAAAAGCTCTGAGCTCTGGGATCTTTCAATTTTGTTTTCGAGGGTTAATGGTCAGAACCCATGCCTGAATCTAAAATGGACTCCGCTCGAGCTCCTCTGGGTGAAGAATTGCTCGTTTTGTTTAATAGAGTCTTATCTTTCTGTGGTTATGTGTGGAGAGGTGTTTTCCAAATTTACTCTCTTAGTCTACATGTACAGTACTAAGTATATGTATGTTCAAAAGTAAGTATAAGTACATCCATAAATGTACTGTATTTTATAAATAAGGTTGTAAGTGCCAGTTGATGAATGCTGTGTATAAAAATCACCTGTGGTGGATGTTGCACACCTGTCAATTCCATAAAGCAGCTGTTAAGCCATGCTGTCAAGGAAGTCTGTCAAATAATTGGCTCCTTTTTGTTGCACGGGCCTCTGTGGTGAGCTGACTGCATGTAGATAACAAGTACAGTGACAAGGTTGCAGTCAAAGGCCACCTCAGAGTAAAGGAGCAAGCTGATGAATCATTGACATCAGCAGCCCACTGTCAATGCTGGATCAATATTTGGGTTGCATTTGCAATTCATTATTGCTTCGTTATCTGCACCTCCTGTTTACAGTGAAGTTATTGTGTGTTTATTGTCTGTGCTGCTTGGGCAGTGCTGCTAGAATGATGGATAGTAGGCGGAGGGGAGCCATTGTGAGTATAGCCAGGATTTGCATGCAAGGGTAAACACGATGTTCACACAGCATGGACCTAGAAGGCAGAGCTGATTGGAAACGGAGGCAGCCCCAGCTTTACAAGGCAGGCAGGGGAAGTACATAGGAATTTTTTACAGTATTTTTTCTCTGTTTTTTGGGGGGGAGAAGAAACAGCATGAAGCCCTTTTAAATTTGATTTTTTTTTAATTCTCTTGAATTTTACATTTTGCCTATATAGCCTATGATCACTATTGCACCAGATACATGTATATCATTTTGTTTATTTCAAATTATTAAGCATTTATTTTATACCTTGCTCAAATTGAATACCGTCAATGTAAGCTTGACAGTGCCGTACAGCAGAGCTATCTCTCACTGGAGGATCATCTTACTGACATTACTGCAGATTCAGAGATATCCAGCAAGTCCCAGGATCTGCTGCTGCTTTGCAAGTGAAGGTGCCCTGCACAAATTTATGGGCACCCAGATTCAGTGCTATTTGCCCATATTACTGCATGAGGACTCCTAGTGACATATGGCTTATGACAGAGCCAAGTTCAAACAGGCAATATCTGGACTGAAGGGTGCAATAAACTCCATATTTCTCTTCACTTAACCCTGTTTCTCTTAGGAACATCCTCCCTCTTTCTCTTAATAGCTGTAAATACTTAGCATACAGTAAAAGAGAAGCATTCACACAGTCATATTCATTTCTAGAGGTGGAGGTCTCTGAAATTAAAAAAAACTTAAGACTGCTGACACATACTGGACCAATAATAATGGTGTCTGCCAGGAGGTTTATCATAAGCAAGCCAACCAATATATTTGTATCTGTCTGCAAACTAATGAGGGAATTTGCAGCTTAAACATGACTCAAAACAGATGGAGTATTAATGTAGCACCTGGTTTGCACCTTGTAGTGTTTCCTGTCTAATGCCAGGGAACTAGGAGATGCAACACATCCAGGATGTTCTTCCTTGTCTGATCAGATCCTCACAGCAAGATACAGAGGGGATCATCTGCTCAGGAAAACAGAAATGTCTTTCCCCCTTAGTGTATTAGTTTGTGCCTGCCTGAAAAGGAGCTTTACAATGACTAGCTTCATTTTTGTGAAACGACAATGGGAGGCAGAATTAGTTTGACTTTGTTTCAAATCCATTCTTTTAAGCTTCAAATCCAGCATCTTAAATTAAATTTTGTAATCTGTGCCCCCGTAAATTATTTGATTTATTTTTAAAGCGAAAATTTTGCTTGGCCATGAAGAACCAGCTTGAATGTACTCAAGGTGTGGATCATAATAGTTGGACGCTAGAAGAGTAGGTGACTAATTCACAGTTTTATAGTCCGTCTGTTGCATTGTGTAAAAACACACTAACGTTATTTCCAACCACCAATCCATAAGGCTAATGAACAAAATTCCGGAATAAAAATATGCTGACAAATAGATAAAGAATACTTCCATACCTGTCCTTACTTGCTGGTGTATTTCTTAGGTTCTTAGTACAGTTTAACATGGTGTAAAAGCTGTTAGAGGTTAGAAGTTATACGTTACAAAAAATGGAACAGAGTGGTCAGATGCTGAAGGACCCTTTTTGAAATAAAAAATCCTTCTCATCTGCATTGTGTGCATTGTGCTTCTTTTTTTTCTTTTCACAGGTGAGAAGCCCTTCGAATGCAAGCTGTGCCACCAGCGGTCTAGGGATTATTCAGCGATGATCAAGCACCTGCGGACCCATAATGGGGCTTCTCCCTACCAATGTACCATCTGCCTGGAGTACTGCCCAAGCCTGTCCGCCATGCAGAAACACATGAAGGGCCACAAGCCAGAGGACATTCCACCAGACTGGAGGATAGAGAAGACCTATTTGTATCTGTGCTATGTCTGAGCGTGGAAAACAAAAAAAATAGTTAAGCCGTTTAAAAAGGAACACAATTACACACAGTCAGAATGAAAGAAACTAAAGAAGATGGGGAACAGAATTATACAGTACAAGTGAAAGGGCTGGGCATGGCGAGAGAAAGGAGGAAGGAGGGGAGCGAGGTTTTCAGAGAAAAAGGTTAGGGCTGCCTGCTCTGAAGCACGTGTAGCTTTTTGTCTCCGGGCAGATCACCATATATAAAATGTAAAAAATAAAAAGCAAATGCTTTCCCACACTCTTGAGACAGCTGCTCTGTCACATCTCTTGTCACATCCTTAGAGGCCACAAGAAGCTCAGACAGATCCATCTCTATGTTCTACCGGGTTCCGTTGCTTTTCTCCTTTTTCCCAGAGCCTGGGTCCCAATCCATCAGCCCTCTGATCCTCCTGTCTGTCGAACTTGCAAACCGACACCCTTAGCAGAAGCTTAGCTCTAGTTTGCAAAGTTCCACTTGCTGCTAAGAGAGGAAGACCTTTTTATGCCTTATTATTGGCTGTGACAGTAAGAATTTTTAAGAAATTTTGATTTACTTTACTTTCTTACTTTTTTGGCAAAGGAAAAGCAGTGTGCCTTCCACTCTTCCATGAATGACAGAGCAAAGCTCAGATTTGAAGGGCAGTTTCTTTTTGACTGCTCCCTCTGATAACTGAATCATCTTTCTTCGCCTTTTGGCAGAATTTGATTTCTTCTCTGTCTGCCCAGGCTCTGGTCAATGCACTGTGGTGTCGCCTTGAATGAGGCTCGCCATACTGTACCTGATGTAGATAAATACATAGAGCACTTAAATTTTCAATGCTGGTGTTCCTTCAGCTATGAATCTGATTTGTAGCAAGTGTGGCCCAAGACATTAGTGGCAGGTCCAGTATTGCAGCATAGAGTAAAATGAATGTGGTTTTCATGTTATTCTGTCATTATCCGTTCATTTACTCAGATGTCCTGGCCTTTTGTGAGTAAGATGTGATGTTTAAGGGATGTGCTCACATGGGAATTCAAAGAGTAGCCCTCCTAGGCTGACATTATCAGTTGATTTCCGCACCTAAACCTACCTTCTTAAGGGCTTATCAAGAAAGCAATTTAACCAGGGGCTGGTGCAGTTCTGCGTGTCGTGACAAAATCTGTACTGAATCTGCAACTGCCATGTCAAAATCATATCTTTGCAAGCTTTGGTCAGATGCACAGCTCAGCCATATCGCATTGACAGTGTGTTTCAGCTTCTGAAACCCTGATTTCTGAAATAGCCTTGGATTCTTTCAGGCAGGAGCCCTGCTCAATTACCCATTGAATAGTATTTCCAGAAAACGATCATCAGTATATGCATTTGGTTATTCCTTGGCACACACAATTACATATACAGTACCTGAACAGTGCTGCACACTACTATTATCCTTATGCCAATACAGTAGAGACCAAAAGGACAAATGTGGTTGTATCACATTTGCCAAGTAACATTTTGGTCCTTAAAAATGCAGTATGTTTGAGAGCATATCTAAATAAACACTGTTAGTAAAAGTCTCACAGCTGTGATGTAAGGCATCAGCCTGAATAGTATAATTGCCCAGCCCTGGTGGCTTGTCATTTAAGAAGGAAAAAAAAAAGGAAACTATATATATATTTTGTTTTGCTTTGTCTTCTTTTTTTTACCATGGTGTATTTCAGCACATTGTACTTGAATTACCTCGTTTTTGTGACCTCATAAGCTTGTATTTTTATTTTATTATTATTTTTTTAATTACTCTTCTTTTTTTGTGTGTTTGAAAGCTGTGTCACAGTAAAGTGACGTGGAAAAGAGGTGTATACTTGGGAATTAAGGAGTACTTAAGTGCCGCAGTGAAAATAGCAATTATTTTACTTTTTATTGTATTTTGTGTATTATTGTTACCAAAATTGGTATTTTTTATTAGCCCATCTTATTAAGAGAGCTGGGTTTGAGGGTTTCTTTTTTTGGTCATAAAAGCTACCTCTTAAGTTGTTGTTTTGTTGTTGTTTATTCAGTTGCAAACAGCACATTTTGTAGTACTTGTGTTTTGCATTGTGACATCGTTGATACTTCATCTCATGCTTTATCTTCAAGTGTTTTTTTTGTGTCAATATGTGTACCTTAGCAACATTACATAAAGGGTTAGAAAGATAGTTGTGGATAGGGATAAAGGGAAAAGGCTTCCCTCCCCCCCATTTGTCCCCTCCACTCCTTCAATTTCTTGGTGGAAAAAAAGATTTTTGAAGCCTTAAGAATGGGTAAGAGTTTGAAGTGGGAAGCATTTCTGGATTAGTAAAAGCATAGTACTTTAAAGTGAGTTAAAAAAAGTGTTAAACTTGAAATATGTGAATAGAATTGTAGTTTTGTAATAATGTGAAAAAAGAGGGGTTCATTGATCCTGAACCACTAAGAGCAGGTCAAATATGCATTGATGCAGTGTGCGTTGGACAATTGGGACTGCAAGTGGTAATCAAAGAACAGAAAAAAAGAAAGAAAAAAAGAAATACTGTTGGTCGACAGACCTTTAAAGAACTGAGGCGAGTATGTTCCTGAATAAGAACCAACAGAGCTGGTTTGATATATAAAATTGTGATATTTTTGTATTAAGTGTTAAGTCCCTTTCCATTTGTCAGGCTTTCAGTAGGGCAAATGTTTTTATTTTTTCAACTTGGGTTTCAACTTTTCTTGGGTTAATTTTTTTTTCCTTGCCCTACGCCTCTTCTGTAATGTTGAACATAAATGTGTGTGACAATGTAGTATTAAGTGTTGCTTTCTGGATGTCACTGAATTGTTGGAGAAGTACTAAATCTAACTGCCACAAAGCCACTCATTATAACAGACCTAACAAATTGGAGTCGAGCGCTGCCGATTCTTAGGAATTTTTATGCTTTATTCGCTTGTATTTTTATTATTACTTGAAATGACCGAAAGGGAGAGAATGAGTTTCGTTACGAAGCATTTCTATAGCAGTAAAAAGTGCAGTACTTTACCTTTTAGGTTTTCAAATTCTTCCAAACACTGTGAACTAAGGGGTTTATTCCTAAAATCTTGATAATTGGTAAATAAGTTGAAAGGTGATTTCTAAGAGAACCTGGCAAAAGTATTCCTCTGGTTTGCATACCTGCTACAGATCTGTACATTAGGAGAGTCACACTAAAAACCAAGACAAGATCAAGATCCTGGCAACACATTTCTGAAAGGTTACGGACATTTATGTGTGTGTGGTTGTGTGTGTGAGAGAGAATGTCCGTGTCAATTATAAGTGCACTAAATGGACACAAACACAAGCTCCATTCTAAGCCCCTTTTATCAAAATGCATTTTTCAAAAGGATTTGGCATTGATTTAGTTCTTCCCACAAATGTAACTCTGGAATTGGCTTTAGCTGTTTCTGTAATCTTTGTGCCTAAAATGAAAATGTTCAACGAAATGTCCGTTTATATCTGCTTAGTTTTTGTACTTTCAAAAAAAAAAGTGTTTAACCTACTGGGGATGTCATGATAGGATGACAGGATTTTTTTGAGGTATTTTGTTTTTTGTTACTATTGAGGGAACGAAATTTGTAACGCAGTTCTGGGAGAAGGCCGTGTTAGATTTTGTGTGTCTTCTGTTTCAAATCCGACAGCTGTTCAAAAACACATCTTCCAACTGCCATATCATGAACGTCAGTTAAAATGACATGAATGTCATGGTATGACTCTTTGAGAGGAAGTTGTTACCTTACTTACTAAATGACTACAACGGAACGAAATTGTGCCATACCTTGTAGAAACAGTCAAAATGAAGACATGCATTCACTGGTACAGGATCTAAAAGGAAGGAAATGCTACAGTTTATTCAAATTAAACTCAGCCCAAAATGGGAGGAGGGTGGGGTGAGAATGATTGATGGAGTATGCTATATTTCAGTCATTTTAAGCACTGTGGCAACGTTGTCAAATATACTATATGGATTTTTATCCAGCCTTAAGTTTCAGAGTGACCGGTGAATATGGAAAGCACTCTTTGCTCATAAACTGAACTTCCAGGTTTATGATAATGGGATACTTTCAGTTTTGTGGTTCAGACGTCCACAGGAAATATACTTTATACTATATCAAGATTATTTTGGGGAAAAAATTCTGCTCAGAATATCATGCCATCCCAACTCTTCAATCACTGTGTTCCAGTGTGGTGTTCTAGAATGAGTAGCCATTTCACACAGTGATGTCATTGCACGTGCCATTTACCTAACTGCTCAAGTAATGAAGCACCAAGACATTGTCTTTTTTATATAAAAGCACTGAGGACCAATTGCCCTGTCGGACCAAGTGTAACAAAGCTTTTTTTTTTCCTTTCTTTTTTGGGCTTGTCTGTGATTTTTTTTTCTCTTTTTTTGTGACAGCACAAGTGCCAGTCAATTTGCTCTGTATTAAAAACAATAGTGTTTTTTTTATTATTATTTTGAATTGATGTTATAGTTACGTCTACCTCAGCACCTCTTCTTAGCCTAATCTTAGAAGGTGCCCGATTATTATTTTTTTTTCTTCTTTTTGTCATTTGTATAAACTTTATTTGCATTAGTGCTTTGCAAGGTCCTTTGTCTTTTCCAGTAAAGAAAAAATAAAAGACATGCTGTTTTTGAGGCGCTGTTTTACATAGTGGCTGCAGATACCAGCATTGGTTTCTTTAATTTTTTTTTTCTTTCAGTGTAGGTTCAGACACATCTCTTTGTAACTTTTCAGTGTTCTCTGATGGAGTGTGGAAAATAAATAAATAAAAGAGATTTAATGCTGCAGGTTTTCTTCTCCATGTTGTCACTAAGTGAAGTTTGTGCCTTCAATAGCGAAAGAGAATATTTTTTACATCCTACTAACAGTAGATTGTTTTGTAGTGGACATTTTTTGTATTTTTATTTATAAGTCTCATAAAGAAATAACAATGTTCAGTTGTATACCTTAAATCTGCAGTTAGAAAAAAAATAAACAAAATGGACTGAAGTTTGTCTGACTTTTTCTATTTCTTTTTCCTGTTTCTTTAATATTTATAAGGTTTAAGGATTCAGGCTTGACAAACAGGGGCTTGTTATCTGTAAATGTTTTCAGGTTTCTATATAAAATACGTGCACACGTCTGTTCTACAGCTTAGTCACTTAATTCTCTTAAATACCAATCCCAGCCAAGAGTGTCAGCTCCCCTTATTTTTTAAAGTGGTTAAATTGTCCTGCAGTGAAAGAATTGTGGGTTTTTTTTCCTTTTGAACTGCAGTGAGTACCTGGGGTGTCATCTTCAAAAACCAAGTCTGTAACTAAAGGTAACAACCATGAAGTTGCTCTAAGGATAGGTCTTCAGGCTGGTAAATGAAGATACATAGAGTGCATCCTTCACGATATCAAATCCCTCACAGCTTGCAAGTTTCTTGCCTCAACTGAACCTGGCCTGCCCCAAGTTTAGTTCTTTGCACTGTTCTACACTCGGACCTAAATTCCTTTTCAACGTCACAGTAATCGAGCGCTCACCATTTTCTTAATCAAATGTGCCTCCTCTCCTCCTTTCATCTGAAAAAAAAAATCATCAAAGACACTGACATACATTTAGGACTTCTCCCAGTTTCTGCCCATTGTGGATGATTTTCTGTAAAACATGAAACAGGGTTTTATGAATAAATCTAGAGCTATAAGAGTTTATTGTCCAAATCGTGTCTACTCAGTGTTCCGTGTTTTAATAATTGAATTTTTATGGCCCCAGTTATTTTACGAGTTGCAATAGCTCTGCAAGTCCATTATCTTCTACTCCTTTTAACACTGGTCAATCGAATACTGAACTCCTTGGATATGTTCTTTTGTCTTTTTCAAGTACGGTCGGTTTCTGAATTTCCTCATTTTTCAAGGCTGAGTCCTCAAAAACTAAAAAAAAAAGTAATTTCTAGAATGTGCATAAAATCCCATTCCTTTTCTGAGGGTTAGGAAAGATAAAATGTTGCAAGGTAGCTTTGCAGCAGTGTGACATTCATAAATTTTGAAACAGCTATCGGAAGGAACGAAAAGACATGAATTATTGACTTAAACAGCACAGATTGCCAATCATGCTAAAAAAATAGAGAAATTCATCTGTGTGTGGTGCAATGTTGCAAAACAATGTCTATGAATCACACAGCTTGTGCATATTTTTTAAAAAGCCATCACAGATAAGAGCACAGCACTGTCCTGTGAACACAGTGTGTTGACACTTAGCACCACCTGCTGTTTGGAGATGAGTTCTCTTATGTGCAAATTCAGAGGTGTGGACTGCATGAGGCATCTATATCCGGAAGAAGAAAAATATTTATGTTTTTTGTGTAGTCTGTAAAGCAATAGTTGAAAAAGGTAAGTAAATACAAGTGTGCCTTCTCCTGTAGGACGTTTGACAGATTCTGTGAGGGCTCAATGGTTATTTAAATGTACTGTTTAGATTGCAAGACAAGTAAAGATGACTGAAATATTACACCATGTTATCAGTATTCTTCAGAACTGAGTTGAAATCACATAGGAGTTTCACATCTTTGGAGACACCATTGAATATGATGGCTTTCAGTGGAACACTGGTTTAGACTGGTTTTAACTGTCAAATTAAAAGAAAAAATATTTTTTTAAAGGAAATTAAAGGGAAAAAGGTTTGAATGCAGGTTCTTATTTTTTTTTGCAGTGGAAATCAGTGTGGACACAGGGAGTTGAATATGGATTTTGTCAATTCAGTTTTGAGTAATATCTTACATTCAAAATGCTGAGGCAATAAAAATATAATTTTGCCAGACAAACCTTGTATGACATTCTGGCATGCGTATGTAAAGTAAAATTACTGTCCTGAGAAGAATACGCTGAAAGGCAGGTTATGCTTTGAGGCCGATTGTGCTGCACAGCTCAGAGATAAGTAAGTTTGCAAACTCCAGTGTCAAACTACAGCTGTATCCTACTCTGGGGCTTAACCTTTGACCCTCATCTGAATTCTTTCATTCTGTTCGCCAGCCAAGTAAATTGTTGTTTAATCTCAAGGCAACTTCACTGAATCTGTCAAAACAATTTAAGGAGCTCTTTTTCTTTAGAGAAAATAAGAATAAAAAGGTGTAGCACATTCACAACAAGAGCCAGTTGCATTTCTAAATCAGACAGGTAAGCTTTTTCATCTAAGCCTTTTTAAATAAGCCTAAGCAGATTTATTCATTGAAATTAATCCTGTCTATTGTTAGTTTAAAGTAAATTTTAAAATATACCTGTCTGCTTTCCGCAAACAAAAAGCCTTCCAGTTCAGCTCTCTTGTATGACTGACCTTAATATTCTTTGGTTTTCCAAGTTCAGTACAATTGCAATTTAAACACAAATATGTGGTTTGGCTACAAAAATCCTCAAAAATAGCTTCCTAAGAAGTGAAAGGCTGTTAGGACAGTGAAAAAAATCCTTAGAATTAATGGTTAAGCTTTCAAATATTAATAGTAATAATATATACTGTATAAAGACACACACATGAGCACATATACAGCAGTACATAACAAATAGCTAACTGAGCTCAGCGTTCCCCCATGCGCCATCAGAGACACAAGAAGCACAATTCTTGCAAATAATCTTCCATTCCTGTGTTCTGTGTTCTGTTCTTGAATAGGGCACTGTCTGGCACAGCACTTAAATAAATCTTTTTTATAACATGCACTGTACAGTATGTCTGCATTGTCATTACTGAAGACTGAGAAGTGCTCTTTTGCAAGAAATTTTATTTCCAGGTAACACATGCCTCTAGAAAAAGGCAAGACCAGAACTTGTTCAGTTTAGGAACATGGGTCTATGGGGACATTTCACTCAGCAGTTAGGTTGCCTTTACTTTACATTTCTGCACCACAAGATGAAAGATGAACAGTGTCAGCTTTCGGGGGCAAGAATTGATCATCTGCCTTACATATAACATCAAATCAAGACTCTGGAAAAAAAAAACAGTTCCACATTTTATACAGTAGGTGACCCTAAAATGTACTGTCGGTGTGAAGATGAGGGGAAGCTTATTTGTTTTTTTTCTCTCTCTTTTTCTTAGGGTGTTGTTGACAGCTGTGAGTGGCGGAAAAAAAAGACCTGAATGAGATGGGAGGACATGGGGAGAGAGAGGAAAAAAATGAACGGCACTGGTTTTGCCCCCTTCGGACATCTTAAGGTTTGTTCTTTTATTGAAAACTTCAAATGGTGGACTTAGGCGCTCCAGCTCTGCGTGGATCATGTGACTCCCTGGCGATGGATGAGAGGAGGTGGGTGAATGGTGACTGGCCCTGAATAGGCTTTGTGTGACAGCCGGGGGTCCCATCTTTATGTGCTCTTTGACCCAGATATGATCTAATGGATAGGAAAGGGCTCTGACAATGGCGCCGTGAATAGAGAAACGGTCTTCTCCAAATCCCTGCAATTGTATGCGCTGCCAAGCATTGATTGTGGAGCTTATCACGCCTGAAGAACTGACCCTGAACATTTTTGCCATGTCCCTCCAAGTGATGTAACATATGTTACTTTACCTAGACACAACCCAGCCTTTCCTTTTGTGATGTTCTGCAAGAAAGCAGGCATTTCTTATTGTGTATACAATATGTACACACTGCATGTTTTTTTTACACTTTCAGTTTTTTTACAGCACTCGTTTTGGGCACCTCATCTGAGCATCTGCATTCCTTCTTGATACTGAATGGCCTCATGTCATGGGGTTATGTGTTTTGCTCCATAGTGAAATTTGTATTTCATGTTTTAATGTATCGCATACTGTTTCTTCAGTTTCAGTCATTGTATTCATTCAATTATTCCACAAAGCTTTCCTTATACGGGCTGTAGCTCTGGGCACTGAAGTTCAGAATTCTCCAAGAACGTCCGTCAGTATGTTTCCATAAAAATAAAAGCTAGTTTATCTTAAAGTTTGTTTAGAGGTTGACAGCACCTGTTCCTGATGGTCAGAGTGCCTTCTGGTTCCCCTTCTGCCTGGGCCTTTGATTTAATAATCAGCTTTCATGGAGCAGAGTTGTGGATCACCACTGTTGTAGGGGGACGTCTTGCTTTAGATACATTAATTAACCTTGACAGCGTGTCATTGGATTGTGAGAGGGGAAAACAAAAATCCGTGTGACCACATGGGGAAAACATGCAGTCTCCACACATAAGGCTCCCCAGGCAGCAACATAACCTAGGACCCAAGAGCTTTAAAGCAGATGCGCAAACGTGCGTAAAGCTCTATGGTGATGGCGTTAATGCACCACTCAGCCGTGTTAATTTCAATGCGGAAAAAGCATTCTCAATATTATATTGTTTGGGCCGAACGCTTTCAAAAAAGCAGTTTCATGCTTTCACATTGCAGTGCTTCCCTCACGTGACCGCTGGAAAGGAGGAATTTTGCCGTCTGCATAATTGATGAGCGATCGATTGGGCTCGTCTGGAAAGGTAGGGGAACGGTTTTTTTTTAATTAACACCGGGTGTTTGTGGTTTTTCAAACTCAAAAATGTGTTTTTATATTTCAGTCTTAACCGTGAAAATCCGATTCTCAAGACTGCTAAGAAAGTTTCATGTGGCCTTTGTGTTTTTAAGAACAGATATTTTAGGAAACGAGAGAGGCAGTCTGTGAGTTTAGTGTTTAACTCATTAGACAACAGAACTCTTCCAAACGGTTAACAATAACAGACTTCTGCGTATTAACGCATGCCTCGTCTTTTCCCCTCTACAAAATGTGATGTTTGGTTCTTAAAATAACTACAGTCTATGGTAGTTAAAATACTACAGTAGACAGCAATGCTTATACTGTACCTCAGCCTCTATTATCGCAGCTTGTGTCCCTTAATTTCCCACTTGTTTAAAACCCAACTATCGGGGGTTGGTGCCCATGCAGCATATTCTGGTATTTCTCAAAGTTGATTTTTTAATCACAAAGCCACTTTCATTGAATATTGTTAATGACTGATATCCCAGGAATGAATGTAAGGTGAGGTGATAATTAGGAATGCATTGTG